GTATGTATGTATGTATGTATGTATGTATGTATGTATGTATGTATGTATGTATGTATGTATGTAACTATGTTGAGATACTATTCGCTTCTGGCATCGTGCTGACGATATTTTAAATTTTTACAAGATTTTACGATGGCTGGTTCTCTGCTATCATACTGTGCTGCTAGGTAACCAGTGCTAACAGAAATTTTGCCGGTTTACCGAGACTCGAAAAATACTCAGTCTCTGGATCAAGCGTCTTACAGATACGGATATTAGGAAATAATTCATTAAGCGGTTGAATTAAACTGCTATTCTTTGGTAATGAGTTTTTGCTTAAGCTAGAGATTCATGTAATGAAACAGTACTCATCCATAGAGCAGAATCAGCATCACAATCTAACAAATTACTGCGACTGGCAGTCGAAGTATATTATGAAATGGTATTATGATGGACGGTGTTGACTAACGATGGCGACATCAATCCCGATGTTAAACGACGCATTGGATTGGCATCAGCGCATTATGGAAAGCTATGTTTATGATAAATGGAAGGAACATTCTGGAAGCAGCCGTGTTCACCCTGTTCATCAACAGGGTCGAAACATCATCCGTCCCGAAGCTCGTCTGGACAGTTTGCAACAACGCTGTCTGCACAGTCCTCAAAATGCGATGGTTCTATCGGCTCACGGAGAAGCAGGTGCTGATGACCACAAAATTGGGAAGAGTCAGAGACAGGCGGTTTGTCTGCTTTGATAAAATGACCCTAAAAGAGGAAGGAGCAATATTCGAAAATTTCCTCCCTTGGGAACCGTGATCCAATTGCTGTTATATCTTGAAAAGACTACCTCTGAAAAAAGAATTGTTTCGACGGTCAATCGAGTACTTAATGACCGTCACACCTATTTAATATATCATCTTTTGTATACAGAGCATGCCTGGAATAACATACCGCATCGCACTCTCAAATGCCGAATACAGCATGCGGCCTACGCAACAATTTGCGCTGCTGCATGCCTCGCCCATGGCTTTTTTTGTGTACTTTACTACCTCTTTAACAGTGTATGTTTGATTGATCGTTTCGTGACTAATGAGCAGCAGTTACCACTTCTGGCGGTTAGACTTATTGAGGAGTAACTTGGTCCTCGTTTACTCTGCTCCTTTTCCTTTCACTCTTTAAATCCAAAAAAGAAGCCAAACTACATATCAAGCCCATGGCAACGACCAGTAATTGTCAAGGTCCAAAAATTGATTTCAGCGTTGTAAAGAGCAAACGAAAAAAGTCTTTCGCCATCATTCAGAGGGATGACGACAGAATGTACCAGTTAGGAAATACCTGAAAAAGGATGTTTCAAATTTTGACAATCCAAGCGGCTAGAGGATTATTACTTCTTTTCATTTTTGACGTCACATATTTCATGCATCTTCGCAAATATCAGCCTGTCATGTCTCAAAATTGTCTTTCATATTTCAGAAAACTTTATGGATTAATATTTTCACCGGAAGGCATAAATGGTTGCTCCAATCCATATCCAAGTTTATAGCCAAACTCAAGCCTCCTGTGTCTCAATGTCGTTGTCCTCCGTCAGCACATACACCACGTGCAATTAATATTGTGACTCTTCCTTTGGAATTAATACTGGCTATCACCCACAGCCATCCATCTGAGTTTGTAGTCATTTAGACCCTGTCCTATATATACTCCCTTAAAAGGCATATGGAACTCTTTAAACATCTTTTACCAGTGATTTCACGCCGGCC